CACTTTCGGAAATCGTCATCCCGCCGATGCCTCGATGCCTTGGGATTCGTGCATTCTGCGGCTGCAAGCAACTCTCACTTTCACTCAGCTAGATGAAGCAGACACAGATAGGGGGGCACAAGCGGAAGACAAAACCTTTCTGATGTGTGACAACTTCGAGCGAGATTTTTTGATTGTACGGCGACCACCGAGAGATGCGAACTCGGTTTGGTTTTGGGGGTTGTTTTGTTGCTGCTGGTCGTGCTTGTCAGGCTCATTCCGCGTGCTCCCCATATGAATTCGTCACAGTGACTTGTGCCTCTCCGCACACACAGCTCCCATACCCGTGCAAAAAAAAAAACGAGAGATACGAACAGGTCAGAGCCAATGGCGACGCCAGTGCCTCCAGTCTCGACGCGTCCATGAAGAGTGTACCGGTCATGGAATGCCGTTTGGTACTCACAACTCTGTCTCGCACAGTGGTGAAAATGACCACGAGTGTTGCCAAGCATGGCAGATTGGAGGACCCAGAAGACCACGGTTGACTACCTGACCTCAGTGACTGACCTTGAGGTCTTTGGATGTACGCTGGACTTCATACACCCCTGCACACCTACCCAGACGACCCAATGTGGGAACCTTGCAGAATGACACGCAGTTTACCATAGTCTTTCGTGATTGCCTCGAAGCTCTTCATTCGAAGGAAACCTTCGACGGCTGTCCATATCGAGATGTCCCACAAGCAATCAAAGTTCCAATGAACCAGGCGGGAATCATTCCCTCCTGCGCCTTTGTTGCTGTGCCGCGTCTGCCCCATGTTGGTGTTGAAGCAGGCATACGTGCAACAGGAGCCGAAGCCTGGCAATGCTGCCGCCATCTTCGAGTGGTCAGAATGCCTAATACTGTGGTGCGAATTGCAGAGAACACCTTTCGTGGGTGCCAGCTGCTCAATAGTATCACATTACCAGGCTGCATTGATTTTGGACACAAAGCTTTCGCGGACTGTTGCTCTCTACAGTGGATTCAAGCCAACGGAGGAGGGGTAAATCAATTTGGTAGTGCGACCAAGTTTGGACACTACCTTTTTCGAGACTGTTGGCCACCTTTGTCCTCCTGGAGGATGGCCGCCGACAGGAGCCACAGACTCAGGAAGATGCGAGGGAATTGCCGCCAGGATGTCTGAGCGCCACCGGAATCACCACACTAGAGTTAACTCGAGATTTCCAAGTGCTGGGTGCACATGCCTGCGATAATTGTAAACTACTTAAGCAGGTGGACATTTCGAACTCAAGCATTGAGGAAATCAAGGAGTTCACCTTTGTGCACTGTTCCAGCCTTCGAGAGGTCAGACTGCCATACTCAGTGCACACAATCAGGGTGAAAGCCTTTATGAACTGTGCGGCACTACCAGAACTTGCTTTTCCACCCTCATTGCATTACATAGCTAGCAGGGCGTTTCTGGACTGCACATCGCTTCGTAGGCTCACACAAAGCTCCCAGGCCGAAAGACCACGTGGCGGGGGACGTATGCAGAAGAGAATGCATTCGCTATCTGCCCAGCCATGCGATGGCCACAGTGGCTGCACATGATTCCGGACCAGGGCTATGTGTCCGGCTTGGCCTAAGCTTGCCCACTCCTGCTTGCATGTACCTTCTAATGGACTACATCACATGCTTGTCAGTGCGCACACCCAACCACATAGAACCAATGCCGTAGACAGACTTGAAAACCTACAAGACAAGAGTGCCTGCTTACTTCCCAGCACGCCCGCAACATGCCACATACTATGCCAGGCAAGCAAAAGCCTAACCTGCCACTGCAGGCCAATTCGTTTAGATCATTTGCTTGCCAATTTCGTCTCCATATCCTGCTGTTAGTGAGCCGACCTGGCTGTGAGCCTCAGCTCTTGGCCGGTGATTGGCACGCGGCGGTAGAACAGTAGACGATTGGCACCCAGGTGAGAACCTCAGTTCTTCGTCTGTGGGAGTCTGCATTCAGCCAATCTTGTACAAAGAATGCACAAGTTACCATGCTAGGATAGATTTCGGTTTCACCAGTTTCACCCGGGCCATGCATGTCTATGGATAGTGACTTTTGATGACTGCTCTATCCATCTCATTTTGCACTTTGCACACCCCCCAAGCTCCTTTCGCTTTCTGCCCGGGAGCTTTCTGGGGGGGCGTGTGCTGCCTCCCCCTTCATGAGGGAGGCCCATAGGTTGCCTGCAGCTACGTGTGGGTTGCAATGTGCTCAAGACTGGCCACAGTCGTGTTTGCTTGTGCAATCGTTTGTAATGGCTGTGCTGCAGGACGGCTGTTTTCCAAGGCCTGTAATGCATTGCAACTATTGATGACCGGTGACAATCATTACAGATCGGAAGAGCTGCAGATTGTTCGCACCAGCTGATATATCGTAGACTCGAACAAGGCTGAAGTGCCTGCAACCCAACCTGGCAAGGGAGACTGCCCCTTGTCTGCGCTCGAAGGCCTCTGGAGGATGGCCTTCAAGGACAACAATCAAAGTCCTGATACAGTGTGTTGCATACTTCGTGAATTCAGGCCCAACTAGGTTGTACAACGTTCTCATGTCTCACACGTTTCACCTTAGTACAGTCGAAACTCTGCCCACATTGGTTGTTGGGGCTTGGTGCTGGTGCTTTTGTGGGGTGGTTTTTTTGGGCTTTGGTTTTGTTGTTTGTGTTTGGTTTTCTGCTTTTCGGTTTGTCCCCCTTTTCCAATATGCAGAGTTTCCATCCTTCTCATGATGACCTGGGCACACCGCCCACACGGCGTCCGTACTCGTGCAAAAACAAACTACCCCTATCTTGAGGTGGGTGGTGATGGCTGCCATGCAAGCAGGAATGTGAGAGAGCGAGTCTTGCCTGCTCCGAAGACCCCTGCTACTGCGAGTGTGGACCTTTCGGAGCGCAGTGCTGATGCTCATGCGTGCCAGAGGCCATTCCCTGGGTAGCATGGCACACAGATTGGCAGGGGGAGGATTCCCAGGTTGGCTCGGGTCAAGCAGAGACAGCTTCTGAAATCGATGAAGCTCCTGCTTTGCGTGTTGTTCCGATTGCAGTGTGCACGTGCCTGCTTGCTCTTGTTCTTCTTTCTGCGGCTGTAGGTTTTGGACAAAGATTTCTGCAGTTGTGTCCTTCCTGTCCGCAGGATAACAGCTAGCTGCCGCCGTCTCTGGTCACTCCAGGCGGACTCGAGGCTTCTGCCAGTGGTCCAAGCGTCACAGCTGGACTCGGAACAGAAAGCATCCGCTCCCTCCGGAACAAGAGAGGTTTTCGTCTGGTTCTGCCTGAAGCAATGTTTGTCACGGGGACTGGCTCAGCGAGAGTTAGAGGCTTCTCTGCCGCCATGCTCCAGTCGTTTCTGTGTGCTGAGTGCTCTAGTCTTTGCGGTCGTTTTGGCTTGGCCGGTTTGCCCTTCTGCAGTTTCTCAGGAGGGGAGCACGCCGCCTCATCACACCAGACAGGCACTTCAATGCGGAAGCTTTGCAAGTGGACGGGAAGAAGATGGATTGGGCATAATTGGCATCTGAAATTCCCTGCTTATGTGCACTCCAGTCGTGGCGTTGCTGGCAGGGCTGGTCGATCTGCGCATTTTCAAAGCTTGGACAATGATGTGTGGGTTGCACGCGCCTGGGGGTGGCTGGCACCCTGTGGTGGAACTGCTGGATGAGGTTTTGTGCGATTTGGACTGGGAAGCAGACATGTGCATTACCGACCGCCTCAGGTTTACCGAGCGCGGCCACGAGCAAAGGATAATGACCGTTTGCATCAGTGCAAGGGCATTTCGCAAGAGAAGCTGAATTATAAACCGACCGTCGAAGACTTCAAGTGGTATAATATATGAGTACATAAGAAGAACATACTGTTTGGTAATTGAAAATAAATGAATTGTCTTAGCAGAATTTGTTTAAAACATGTTAATTGTTTGTTCATTTTTGTGTGTTGGTCGTAGTCAAACGAACTTGAACAGAAACTGTTGTGAAACGTTGGGTTTCTTTCTTGTGCACGTTCCCATCTTGGAGTGCAGATTTCGGATCGTTTCAATCCTCTCTGACATTGAGATCAATTGTGAATCCGTGGCCGGTCAAATCGATACAAAAACGTTTGATCAGGTTCCTGGTGTTTTTCTGTTGGTTTTTAGCCAGCATGTCCACAATTGCGGGTTTTGTTTTTGGACCTTTCATGACAACCACATTCAAAAGACTAAGCAGCACCACTGTCCACTGTGTCAATGGACCCGAAGGTCTTTTTCCATGTGGCGTTTGCAGCAGCAGTTCTTTGTTGGCCCGTCCCTCTCACCACCTTGTGCGGTTTAGGTGGTGTGTGCAAGAAATTTTAAGCCGCGGTGGGGTTGTGGGAATGGATGTGTGTTCCAAAATGATTCCAAAGTGTTGTAAAACCTCCGTTTCCAAGATGTTGTGTTGATTCTGTGTTCCAAATGATTTGTATTTGTGTATGGTTAGTTTTATGTGTTCCTACATGAACCGGGTGCACTTGTAGATTGTGTTGCTCCAAAAAAAAAAAGTGCAAAACTTTTGTGACCGTGGGACACATGCACCATTCGTAATCGCACGTGGCTGACCAAGGGCCACATGTTAGATAAACACAAACATGGAATGATGGAATGATTATCAACATTTTGCAAGGTTTCGGCACGTCGCAGTTGATTCAGCCAAAAGACTGTGACTCGAGGTTGATGTCTCTCCATGACCAACAATAGGTTCACATTTGATTCTCTAAGTTGCGTTGGAGTTACTGTAATCTCCATTTTTATTCCCAAAAAGCAAAATGCTTTTGGATTGTAAGACGAAAACATCCTGTGTGGTATCCAGCAATTTTTCTTGCTTTGCATATTTTCAGGGCTTTGGGCTCATGTTTTGCAGCAAACATGAAGAAGTCCGTTCTTCCAGATCGGATGGCAGCAATTTCTATGCTTAACTGGACTTGGTACATACGGATGAACATGTTTAGTCATCGTGGTACAGCACCAAACGTTGCGTTGAAATACGATAGGTTAATTGGTAGAAAATGGGGCATGGTTGCAGTAGCTATGGCCCATTTGCGATCGTTAAGGACTTAATTTTATGTGTTTGGATTGTTGTTTGAAACCAATTGTGTGAATGCAAACCTGAGTGTAGCAGACGTCCATTTGCAGGACTTTGTGTGCAACATGCTCTGTTCCACAATCGTGCGTTCCTGAGTATTCTGATGGGAGTGTTGTTGAAAAAGGTCACACAACAACTTCTTTACATATTTGCACCAGGAGTGGTGCTGCCAAGTCTTTCACTACAGTGCATAAGCTTAATCGTGCCGAGGTGGAAGCTTTTTAGCAGAGGACGCAAAACAGTGGGTGATTTTCTTGTCCCTTTGCCTGTACTTGAAACGTTCTTTAAGCATGCATTCTCAGGACAACCTGCAGGTGTATTAGCAGAATAGTGAGTGGAGACCAACGGTCCCAACCAATGGGCTTTAGCCAACTGTTGTTTTTTCAACAGGGTCTCAGAGGTCTCCCTGTTCCACGCCTTTCTGTATCTTGTGCACAGTTCCCTACACCTTTTCATCCTGAAGGATTTGCAGATGTCAAGGAGCCGGGAAAGGTCATTGGACCCAGGTGCCATCTCTGTGTTGCATGGGATTCTTTGGGGGGGTTGACCGTTTGGGCGCTGCACACGAGCCACCAGACTGCTGGGTTTGGTATTTTTTGTCCAGCTCGGGCATTGCTACTAGTAACAAGAAACTATTAGGTTGGAGGCCATTGCTACTAGCTAGAAGCTACTAGTATCAGTTGCCGGTCTCGGATCGTTCAACCGGCAGGCGGGACCTTCGTTGCAGCGTCGATCGTTAGGACTCGGCTCGCCGGCTTGCTCAACTGGTTGGTTTGCCGTACGACTTGGATGGGATATTTAACTTCGGGTTCCTGGGTTCCTTGGTTTTGAGATGGTTGAAGAGAGCAAACAGCTGGCACAGGGTCCAACCCAAGAGCCAGTTTTGAGATGTTCCTCCTTACCCTTGGGTTGGCAGCCGCTGGGAACTCTGTGTGAGGCACTATCCATCGCTGTCCCAAAGTTTGCGGAACACTCGAGGGCGTGAGTTGCTGCGAATCGTGGACACCGCGGCACCCAACCTGGAGAAACTTTGCGGCACCCAACCTGGTGAGGTCTTTCTTTGCTGGGAATGGTTGGGTTATGGTGCTTGAAGCTAGCTGATGACAGGACATTCTTGTGTCAAGAAGCATGATGTTCTTTGTCCATCCCCATGGGTTTCGACGCGGGTGATATTTTCTCCTGAGGAACGAACAAGAGTTTCTCATCGTCCTGAAGGCGAAGATGATCGTTGGTTCTGGCATAGGTGTGCTTTGTATTTGCACCAACAAGTGATCCTCTCCAAACGACTGACTAACAAAAATGCAAGCCTTTGAAACTTTCGGCGTGTTATCCACTTGTTTGGAGGAACATATCAAGTGAGACCACTATTCAATGGTTTCATCCAAAAGGAAGATACACTTCTGCTTCCTCCGCGGTCTGTGAGGAGGGGGTCCCAGAAACGACACTCCCTGTGCTCCTGGGTCTGAAGCAAGGAACGATCAAAAGGTAAAAGGAATACATACCTGTTGGAGAAGGATGGGGGGCCCCATAACCATACCAATGGACCCTATTCTTAAAATGGACTATAACGTGAATCTACACTGCATCATGCACAAATAACCATATACCCTGTGGGCAAGTGTACGGGGGAAGACGTCAATGATCTCTATTCACTCAAACAGCCTTTGTTGTAGGCCGTTGTACGTTTTTTCACCCTGAAACGGCCGACACGTCGACATGTCTCCAAACTCTAGGTGTGCCGACCGTTCAAGTTTCCGAAAGCAATGGGACTCGATCAGGCAAAGCCCCTCTGTGGGAGGTCACGTCACGTCACTTCTGTGTTTAATTTTGGGAGGTACTGCTGGATGGAAGAGTGGTTCAATCCGATATATTTGCTTGGACCACATAGTGTTCCAAGTAGGGCAAAAGTGACTACGACTTCGGCGTCTCTTCAGTGACCCACATCCGCCGCAGGCCTTAGCCTTGGACGGACAATTCCGACGCGCGCTGCGCCTCTTGAGGTCTGGCGTTGGGGAGGGCGACGGGGCATGAAAGGGTCCAAACTGGTGGAGGGTATGAAGACATGGGCTCTAGTTTTGACATCATCGGGCATGCAAGGTGTGTCTAAAGCTTGATGTCCAGTAACCTCTCGTGGCTAGAAAGTTTCTTTGTGTGACTTGCATGTTCCATGTTTCTATGAACCCATGGACTTTCATCGCAAAACTGAGTGCGCTGTCGACTTCACCCTTCCAAGGGACCAGTAGGACAGAGAGGACAGACGTTTGTGGATTTGTCCTTCACTCAACGAATCAACTAGTCCTGTCATCGGTTTTGATGGGGTTCCAGCTTTATCCAAGAAACCGCAGGGAGATGAAGGAGATTGGCATCGAGCCTGAAAGCCCAGTTGGGAGAATATGCAAGTTGTCTGCAGCCATTGTGGGAACTAGGATGAATTTGCATAAATTCCATTTGGCATCCTGAAAGTATCGTGGAACTTGGGTGCAGGTTATGGACAGGTGTTTGATCACCAGCTGCTGTTGCACCAAGATTGAACAAGGGCTTGCATAAACTACCTTTGGAGCCTCTGGAGTGTGCCTTCTTTGGAGTGTGTGTTGAGGCTTGACATCATCAAGTACAATTGGGTCCTTGCGGCCATGGCGAAGGACAAGCAGGTGCAGCGCCGTGCAGCGGGCAGCGAAGAAGAACAGGGAGACAAACAGTATTCATGTAGCAAAGCCACGGCATCAGGGCACATCGTATGTTCATGGCATAGCGGCATAGCAGATTTTCTTTGCACCACTGTACCAGCAACTGTTCATTGAATAAAGGAGCATAACGCCAGTTGCGTATGCTTTAGGCTTCCTTCTGAAGATTCCTTCCCTTCAACCCATCGACTCGCTGGGAATCTCCAGGTACAAAGGGCCCTGGCGATGCTGGAGGAGATGAGACAGAAGGAGATCATCCCTGATTTGCAGAGCTCCTTGAATGGAATGGAGATGAATGAACCCCGTAGGGATGAAGACCGAAAATAGAAACCGAGGCACATAAGAAGCTCTTCCTGTACAAACAACTTTCTTCATGGATAAAAGGCTGTACTTTTGGTTGCATTGTTGCAGAGTCTAAGTCCCCACTCAGAACTGTGCCTTGATGAGTAAAACAGAGCACCTGCTTTGCAGGCTACAACCACTGCGCAGGCACTGGACTGGGAACAAGAAACGCTAGGCGTTTTGTAGCCGACATTGTTACAGTCGATTTGCTAGCCGACCTTGATTTTCTGGTGTATAGGATCCCAGAACCCAACGCCCATGCAGGTGCCTGCAAGCCCAAAGAATGGGAGGAGGCGGTTCATATTCTTCGCACCTTGATGCCCAAAGCTGACATTGAGCCAGATGCGCAGAGCTTCGAGCATGTTGCAGCAGCTTGCGAGGAAGGACTCGAAGCCTGGCCTGAAGCCATGAGTTCTTAGTCTCCACACCAGCGGCTAGTTATAGCCTGGCCAGTAGGCTATAGGACTTTTTAAAGTGCAAATATAAAGATATTTTTGTAGGTGTGCGTTGGGGTTGGAAGTTGCTATTTGCAGATCTTTGTCATTTTCTTGTTTGTTTGGTTTGTTTGTTTGTTTGTTTGCGTAGGCAAACTTTTGGACCTTTGCACCTCAAAAGTGTTGTGGGAGTGCCCCAGCATTTTTTCCTTTTTTCTCTTCCGAGGAGTGGCAGAAGTCCCTGGACTTGTTCATGGAGATCGAGCAGCGTGGTCTTTCAGCCAGTTCCGTGGGACATAACTACGCACTGTCTGCGTGCCGTCAGGGCAAGCGATGGAAGCATGGCTTCGAGATCATGGAAATCATGAAGGAGATGGGGTCCCACAGGTTCCACGGGTCACAGCAGTCCAGAATTGAAATTCTAACTTAGAGGTGAAATGGCAAACTAGTTCTTTGGCCACGTGCTACTGGAGCAGGGCATCTATCTAGTAGAGCGGCTCTTGACAGATGCCTTCCTTCTTCCCAAAATCGGGACCAGGAGAAGGGCTTCGAGCCCGACTTCCGTCTGAAGATGGACTTGGAGGCCCAATCGCGTGGCCTGGAGAAAGCGCCGCCGCCCGAGCCCAGCTCACGCTCCATGCCTTCCCCTGACAACGTCTGGCAGAGGAAAAGCGGTCGGGGGACGGTCGGGACGGTGGGGGACAATCAGGACGGTTCAAAAGGGGCATGGCGCGGAATCGGATTGATGGGATTTTGCGCATGGGTTTGAACGAGCTGTTCGTTTGATGCTGTGTCCCCAGTTGCAATGTCAGAGAAAATCAAGACGCCACAAAGTAATGATCCTAGCTTAGCTCTTGCATTTTCTGGCGAGACGTACATACATGTAGTATGGCCTTGGGACAGTCCAGCACTCGATTGTAAAATATTGTACAGTAAATAAGAAAGCAGATCAATGACTCCCAGACATGTAACACACTGTGCTGAGCATTGGAAGAGGAGCACTGCGGAGGCCAGTGTTGACATGGCTATGGGAAACCAGGGGCAACACTATTCTGACAATCTGGACAATCTGGTTCACTACTACTCTTTCGCAGATGTTGCACAAAGACCACCACATTCACATACCAGGTTCTTTCTTGCGTGCTTTTCAGTCGGCTTTGCCAGTTTGAAAAACGTCCCCTGTTTGGACTGTTTGGCTACTAGGAGCAAGGACGCTACTAGGGGCTCCTGGCCGTACTACTAGGAGCAAGTAGCTACTAGGAACAAGAAGCTACTACTGGCCGACTTCGGTTGACCGGAGTCGAAGTCGGAGGAAGCAACAGCTGCGGGAGCTCCGAGAGCAGGACAAGCGGCGCCAGGAGGAGCGTCGTTTGGAGGAGGAGCGGCAGAAGCGCTTGCGGGAGGCCCATGGGGAGCCTGTGAGGTCGGCTGAGAAGAAGGAGGAGAAGGAAGAGAAGCAGGAGAAGAAGGTGGAGAAGGAGAAGGTGGCTAAGGCAGGAGATCCTTCAAATCCTTTGTGTTTTTTGAGAATCATGTAGAATTTGGTGGAGAGTTTACAACTTGAAGAAGTCATAGTGTTGGGAGCTTCAATGGATCCTGTGGTAGGTGCAGAATGTCACAAAGGCCCCCAGCACCGAAGCTGAACCCCCCAAGCCGGCTGAAACCGCCCCACCAGAAGAACGGGAAGCGCGGACCAGCGCGCCGGAGCCTCGAGAGCCTCGAGAGCCTCGAGAGCCTCAGCGGCAGAGGCCCAAGAGGGATCCCAGGAAGCCCAAGTTGCGGGCGCCGGGGTCCTACGTTCTGCCGGTCTTTGCGCAGCATGATCGCTCCAACCATGCTGAGAGGCAAGCACTCATTAAGGTGATTGCAAGGGTGCAAGAGGCCTCAGGTGCTCAGACAGATGCAGAGTTTGAAGCGGAATGTGCCGAGGTCACTGGAACGGTCAGACTGTATGCCTCACATACACCGTGCATCTCCTGCATGGCCTGCTTTTGCCAATTCCAGCGACTCTTCCCCAAGGTGAAGCTCTGTGTGGATTTCGATGACTGGCGGGATACTCGCCGCATGGTGGAGATGGCCCGGAGAGAGGAGGAGCACAAGAAGCGAGGGACCAGTCCTCCAAACTATGACTGCCCCGGCTTGTCTGACATGTCTGATGAGGAAGAACCTGTCGAGCTGGATGACATGATCTTGAAGCCAGCGTCTGCTTGAATCGTAGAAAGGCTCACTGGTGGGACCATGAGTGGCACAGGGGCTGCAGTTGCGCAGCAGATGTTGAAGATCTTGGGTTTGGGGCTAATGGAATCATCCCAACTTCAGGGCATGTTCACTGTGAGATTCTGGAAGTGCAGCCGTAACGGCTCAAAGTATGTCTGCTGATTGGCCAGACAAAAGCATGGGTCAAGAAATGAAGATACAAAGATATGATGTGTGGATGGGTTTGCTTGTTGCCAATTGCCATATTTCTGGGACACCTGGACGGTACCCAAACCACATGTACTTCCTTTGTAACGGCTTCTCCACAGCCAAACCCTGAAGAAAAAACTTGTAGCACAACTCTTTCACCTACAGTGCATACAACTCCTTTCGTTAATTCTAGAGAGTTGATGGTCAAAGAAGCAGCTTCTGGAGATTTGACGATATGTTGCTTGATTTATATAATTTGACATGTGTTGGTGATGCATGCAATGGCTGCAGTATCTGGAGGCAGGGGAGGGGTTAGGGATTGAACCCAAAATAGCATTTGCATATGAGTCACCGAACTGTTGGTCTGGCCAACTCTGAATCATGTAGAAAACACATGGACTGCCAATTGTGTGTGTGTGAAGGAAGCCGCCTTTGACCCAGGCACATGATGAAGCTATGGTGCTTAGGACCCCGGATTCGGGCGGTGTTCAGGTTGGCAAGTGCTTTTCTGCAATCAGCTGTGGCGACCGTCCACTTGCAATCGGTTCAGTTGAACTCCGCCTTCACAGAGTTCAACCGAAGTGCTAACAAACATGTTGGATCCTGTGCCCTGGACCAAAGGTGTCCGCAGTGTGGGTGAAGCAAACGACACTGGGGACTTGTCCTCATCCTGATCCTTCCCTCATCCTCATGGATGAGCCAACATGGAGCCAACATGGGCTCCAACATGGATCTACTGCCCTATGGAGCCTCCACTTGTGGCGGCAGCACTGTGGTCCATGGGCTCCCTGTGCTAAAGCCATACCGCCCCGGAAGCATCTGGGAGCACCCGGTGAAAGCCGCCACTTAGAAAAACCAATCAACGCAGACTTGGAACCTTCTTTCCCATGTGAAAAGCCAATAAATGCCGATCTTCCGCAGTGGAGGTGCTTTTGTCTACTCTCTACTCTTCAATCTCATCCAACAGACCACCCGCCTCGACTGCCGAGGAGCCCTGGCTGTTGCGGCGGCGAATCGACCACCCCCCGACTTGGAGGCGGGACTGGGTGGGTGAGGCTCCGGTTAACGGTTAAAATTGAGGGAAGCACATATTTGTATATATAAAAAAATGTATATACAGTATACAGATCTATCTATTGGAGCATCACCTGGAGCCATGAACAGACTCACCTGGGTGGTTTAAGCATGATGCATGTGGGAGAATCTTGGGAGTCTTTTTTCGTGGTCCACCCTTGCTTCGTTTTGTTTGCTAGAGTCTGGCCCCTTGCAAGAAGACCCAAGTATGTAGCAATTGCACACAGTTGCACAATGCTCAAGATCCGACTTTGACATAAAAACGGTTGTTGACAGAGTGGCTGGAAAATGACATACCAGTCTTGATGCTGACACGACCTGATCTTTATATATAAGTTTCCTTCTTCCAGGGATGAGCCTCAAGAGCTATGCCCAAAACCTTTCATTGGAAATAGTAGACCAACATGGACAAAGGATCTCCTCATTCTCCATGCCCTTTCTGGCTGGCCGTCGATGTTTGCTAAGCAATGGATATGCCTTTTGCATTCCTGAGATGACTTTTGCATTCAATGTGTCGCAGTTTCAAGTTGCCAGGGCCTATTTCAATTTGCATCTGCTCCGCTGGTGTCCTACTGGCTGTTTCGGACTAAGCGAGTCTGGTTTGCTTTAATTTGTTTTTGTTAATTGATTTTTGTTCATGCCCAAACAAAAAATAGGGCGAGTTGGATGAGATGTAAATGCAAATGTCTATTATTTTTCAGGCTTTGAAATACGTGCTGTAAGACTTCTTCGCCATCTCTTATTCTTTCTTCCTCACTGCAGATTAAAAATAAATGCTGCAAGTTTGATTGGCCAAAGGTGCTCTTGAACAATGAGAGCTTGTGCAGGTTTCTTACAAGCGTTCCAGAAACACCTTAAGCACGTTGGAGTCCAAAGATGTAGTGTATTACTCAGTGGGCTTTCCGCCTGGGACCATGCGCCCAGCACTCCCAGTTAGCCGCTGGGTCAACCCATCTCAAGCTCTCCAAAGAACTGGACATCCCATGGCTCATGGCTCCATGGATCACATCGCTCATCCACCGCATCCATCGCGAGTCCGGCCGCCAGTCCAGACTCGCCTGAATGCCACCACGCGATGCGTCCAGAGGTCGGACTCCGCGATGCCGCAACTGGCGTCCAAAGACTTCCCCTGCTTGTGCGGCTGCTCAGAGATGTGGTTTATCGATGGGTGCGGAACTGCTGTTGGAGGATGGCGCAGGGGGAATCACCCAGTTGCTGAAACGGGAGAAGTGGGAGCGATTCTGGAGGGGACCGAAAGGATCGCCCCCCAGAGTCCACCGGTGAATTCATTGGTGCGCGCGCTCGTTCTACGAAGTCCTTCACTGGCGCCACCGATCGATCCGGTCGGTGCAGGAAGGTGATGATCCTCCTGGATTGGGCCAGTGGCTGAGAGGCACCACATCGGTGGTAGTTTCAGGTGGAAAAAGATCCATGACATGCTGGGCGAGAGGAAAGAGTCAACAATTGCAAGTCATACCAACACACGCGTCATATTTATACTTTTGGTGTTTAATCCACTCAAACCTGCATGATTTTTTTTGCGTTTACGGTTTCTTGCTTTCTGAGGTCGCCCAGAAGTACCACACTTCGTTCGCCCAAAGCAAGGCAGACTTGAACTTTTGGAAGGAGATCTTTTGCCGTCACAGAATTGGTGCCAGACAATCCAACAAACATGATGAAGAATTGATGACTGATCATTATGGGCCGTAATCATCCATACAGGCCGTTTGTTCTGGAGCATTGACGGCCCCTTGGCCGTGGGGATGACTCCGGGAATGATTTGGCCTCAGAAGAGCAGAAGCTTTACTTGGCTCTCGGTCCAAGTCTTGCTTTACGTGAACCCTGAGAGGAATGGAGTTTCGCGGTAGAAGTCGTGTAGAAGTTGCAGTCTTGAACGGATAAAACATGTGTTGGCTGTTGTTTCATGTTTTAGTGCTATGTGATCAACAACATGTCCCGCAAGAACGTTGGCCCTCTCCAAGTCTTGTGTGCCAGTGAATGCAGGATACGTTGGTGAGCATTGGCTTTTCAGGTGCGAACTTTGTGGTTTGGAAGTCTTAAAGTGATGGTCATTCACAAGTAGCCGGGTAGCCTGCGGGGCCATCATCCACCATTGAAGAGCTTTTGTAAACGTGCACGTGTTTGGTGGCAATGTCCTTCGATGCTGGGAGCATCCACCATTGCATCTATATACATGTGCACTGCTTAATTTTTTGGACCCATTTAAGGTTGATACCAAGCTAAGGGTCTTTTTTGGGCAGGGCCTGTTCTGCAAGGCCTTTGTTCTTCATAAACTTGGAACCCGTTGGATTCGGCCCTTGATGCAATGATGCGCTGGGGTCGTTTCCGCGCTGCCCTTCGGACGTTTGTAGCTGGTTTTGATTCCGAATTCTTTCGCTTGAGACTTAGAAGTCTCCAAACAGATAAAAAGGCATACCGGCATAACAATATTCTTCCAAATGCTGTTTGTCTTCACGTCTTCTCTGCATGGGAGGCCAAACGCCACAAGATTGGTTCACCTCCTCTAACTACTATGCCCTCCTGCAGCCCGTGATCGAGATGCACAGGAGACGGGCAGAGGGAGAGGGGTTCGACTGTCATGGAAAGCGAAGACCAGGCATATTTGGGCTTTTGAGCAGTCGAGAAGGTTGGCTTTGCTGCAAGCGTCAGAGCTCTGACTTTGTATTGAGTCATGAACATGTATGTGACTGTCAGTGTTCTACATAATTTCTTCAATCGCCGCGGCTAGCCCACAGATGTGAAACAGGAGAGGTGGTCAACGCGGTTAAAAAGGAGGTGCCCACCATTCCTGTGGGTTTCCTCAAGGTGTCAGCTTGTCAGGTTTTGGTCTGGCACCAAGAAAGGAATTTCACCGCCCCAAACCCAAATAGATTGAGGGAGGGTGAATCTGCTTCCAACATACTGCTTGGACATTGTTTCTGTCAATATGCGGAAGGAATTTCAACTGAAACGACTTCTGCATGTTCAGCATGCACAGGTGCACGCGGGTGCCACGTAGGTGTCGATGTGTTCCCTCAGGACGACCTCGCATCTCCTGGACTTTCTCCATGTGCTGAGCATGGTTCACGGGGAAAGGCCAGGCAGTTTGAGACCAAGACACGAAATACAGGCCTACAGCAGTGCGGTATTTTGAATCTCGAGTCTTCGTGCAGTTTTTCAGCCTAACCAACTGTAGTTTAAAATCTAACCAGAGTCCCAACAGGGTTTATTGATCCAACCTTTTGCCAAACTGAGTGGTTCAACCCCCCTTCATCTCTTAGGTATCAATCTACTTCTGGGATACCTGGCAGGTGCATGTACCCGGCTCTCCGGAACAATCTGGGCCCGGCCGCTCAGCCCTGGCGTCAGAAGATCCTCTTCTTGGCAGTGAAACGTCAGGTAGTGCCGTGAACCAAGCTTCCACTTCTGATGATAGAAACTACATGACCCTCTCTCTTCATGATTTTACATTTTTGGGTGAACTTCTTCACGCGTCTCTAGCCAACTCGAACTGTTGTTATGCTGGTTGGCTGAGCACCTTGGGCATTGTGAGGCTCGTGGCCTGTTGACTCCAGCCCGAACGAACTCTCTGGTTCACATACACACCGTCCTTGCTCAATGATCATTGGGCTGGGAGCAATTGAGTGGCTCCCGAAAACCCAGAAACAGGGCTCCAGCTTCAGGTCTTCTGGGCCTGAACCACTGGGGAACAAACCGATCTTAATCCGAATCCGATTGGTTGCACACTGGCATGAAGTTCCCACGCACAAC